CGAAAAACTGGAGTGGTATGTGCAACGCTGCAAACCGGCTCGGTACCTAGGATTCCAATCCGAATCAATCAGCTACCGAGCACTTTGAGGTCTAGCGCTATACAGTTTGTGCTACAAATTCCTCATTGTGACAGCTGCAACTGAGAATATCCAAAGTCACAAGGGACTTTGGCCGACGGATCTACCGTGGCTGCAAGGCGGAAATAGGCATTCATAATTTGCCTTGCAGCTCTAAATCTAGGGCTCATCGACGCTATTGCATTGCGAAGAACCATTAGGCATCGAGAGCTACTAACGACAATGCAGGCCAGACTGAGCACAACAGGCCTGCAAGAGGCCACCTGCCGAATGTCACAGTTTAGAACAGGCCGGGCATTTGGGATCTGAACCGAGGTCAAAACCGCGACCCACATTTCAGTTCTTTAATAGGGATATGGGTCGGTCAACAGCAGACACGGTGGGAGGTGAAATGTGCTAATTGTTGAAATTATGGACAAATCGCGTTCTTGCAGTGACCTATCTGCAGCACCTAGAAGGTCTGCGCTACAGACCCAACGAAAACATATTTTATATGGCATTAGGAAAAGGAGACAGCTGGGAATCGCGTTGTCCGCAGCTTAACGAAAGGTCAGTAGGTGCGATTTCGGGACCAAACGGTTCGACTTAATTAGGCGACATGTGTTTTCTGGACGTGTGAGCCCACTACGTCCAGCTGTCTGATGTAATAATATGTTCCCGTTTGCTCGGTTCCACCTGGTTGATTTCACCAAACGGGGAGCCGCACGAGTAAGCAGGCCAAACAGTCATCCTGCGGACATGACGCTCCTCTGACATGACTGACAATGCAGGCGCGTTAGCGACAGCTCGACCGTCGTGACTGACGATGTCGTCCATATGTTCCACAGCAGGGTGAGAGCAGGCGCAGTGACTTTTCCATGATTCCGCTCATAGTAATAGTAGGCTTTCCTTGTACTATCGCCTCCTCACTCACCTGGACCCGGTTTCAGGACAAAGTCAGGAAGGCCGAAGGCGGAATAGGGCGCAGGTGGCTAGTGCGACGAATATCCGCACCCACCACGATGAAAAAATATGGAGAGCAGCTGGAAGTCCAACTGGTGTGACGTGGGCCTGCGCTGGGGTCTGCCGCCAAAACCACAATATTGACGTTTGTTATGAGTGCGCATTCCCATCAACGCCGGCCGGAGCCCAACCTATCCCTCGTGTTGGTCCAGCTCATCCTACAGCCTGGCCCCTTTTAGGAGCAGAAACGCGTAAGCACTACTCCTACCGCGCCCCAACTAGGCGGTAACAAATCCACAAGGCACCAAAAACAACAAGTCCACCAGGACATCGCCAACCATGAAGGCAAGATTGCTGTTAAGAATCTGTTTGAGTAAACAATACAGCAGACATGTTGAAAGTGAACAGCAGACCCAGACTTCCGAAACGTCGGTCAGTTACCTATTCCACCAGTAGGTTTGATCGAACAGTAGGCCTTATGAACCCTTATAAGGATACTTAGACTCATGGATAACCCGATTGTTTCGTCCTAACCTTAACACGAAGAAAGCATGACTGTGAACTGCGACTGGATCCGAAAATTTATATGCTTAACAATAGCCCAGATGACCCGCAAAACTATTCGACAATGCGATAACAGGTTGGTCGCCCGCAGTCGGGTCGTTAGTAGCCGTAATCTCACTATCACACCAAGTATGTCCGCAAAAGCGGGAATTGATAATTATAGTAAGTTTATAGCTGCGCAGAAACTGCATTCTACGAATGTGAGCCCGCTACCTTTATTACTTGCTGTCCCTGACGGTTGGTCTTAGAGCGAACCTGAAATGGCGGTTGAACAAAATCCCAGCTCCAACGGTCGAGTCACCTTATCAACTGCTCTCCGGAACCCGTGTTTCCGCACGTACTTGATAACTGTTCAGACTACGTGAAGGCATTTATATTTCTACCTGCAGCTCTCAGCTGGCAAAACTTACAGTCTCAAAGGTGAGATCACCTGTCTGTACTGAAGCAATATGTAGATTGCCTGTTGCGGAAATGAAGGCCTCCACACCGTTTCCCGCCACAGTTAGAAGACGGAAGAGACAGCGGCGTTGAATGGAAGCACTACCTGGCACTGAGGTGCGGCTGCATGGATGGTCATCTAGGAAAAGCCACATGAAGAAGGAGAGGCCAAGTGAGCTGGGACGCAGTTCTGAGGTACTGGAAGCTGGGCCGCCGTCGCTTGTACCTCGTATGCTAAAAAAGAGGAGGAAAATTTAAAACTCGGATTTTACACGACTCGCTCATTCTTGACCGACAGAATCTGCTGGTTCTGTAAGCAAGTAATCCCAGGCGTTAATCGGTAGCATGGACTGGAAATTTGGTGACGGATCGCGAATGAAATTTACTGCTTTGCAAGGTGGGGGCGGAAGTCGGAGTGAACGCCTAGAGCCAGTACTTTCCCTGTTCTAGGGCCAATAGCTCAACATTGGTTGCATGAGCTGCCCAGGCAGAGGTAGTCATTTTGATCGATCGTAAGTCTCATCAATGACTTAGCTGCGCGCGTTGGCCATCCACGTCGACCCCATCTGGCAAACAGGTCGTAGTGGACGAAGTAGGAAGCGGTCGTGCCCTAGCAACCATCTAGACAAAGAAGAGCACTTGGATGAGGGTAATTGGCCTGCCTTTCGAACTCTGGCGAATTTGCAGCTGAAGCTTGCCTTGGTTAAAGGAGGGTCGACAGTGTCCAGGTACACATCTACTGGGGCTCTCTGCCTCGTCGGTCCAAGCGCTAAATCGCACTACTAGTCTGACAATTGAGCACTGGATGTGTGAGCATATGGAGACCGGTGCTGAACAAGTCTTCAAATGATGCTCACTTGAACTACCTTGACGCCGCAACAGTTGTGGTCCAGAAGGTTGTCACGTAGTGAACCAGCGCAGTTCTGAGGAACGAGGTCCAGCTAACAGTGGATGCGTCCTTATACAGCCTTTTTGGAACTCGCACTCGCAGGGGCTGGGGTAGAGTGAGTGACCAATACTTGTGTGGCACACATTGAGAGGGTTTTATGCCGAGTCAGTCACTGAGCACACGCCCAATTCCAATTGCGATGCCATTCTCTCGCCACTTGAACAAGATGTATGTGGAAAGAAAGAGCGTGGCTAATAAAACGTAATTCACTCTCGTGGTTCAGTTCATGAACATGACGTCACTAGCGGCAGGCCGTAGATTCGTGATCAAGTTCCATAAACCAACCAATATCTCAGTATACCTACTCTTATGAGAGTAATGGATCCCAGAAAGTGTGAATCATGCACGCGGACTACAGCCCGACATTGCCCAGAAAGCTGGCAAGGCCACGGCCCACCAGGAAGACGTTGCCCTCGATGGCTGCTCATTACTACGCGTTGCATGTGTGGGTTCTCTGCCCGAACATAACGGAACGACTGCACGCTGTCCTGAAATCCGTCCAGGTAGTGAATACAAGCCCTCCTTCCACCTAACTTTTCGCCTTCAAGAGGAATCCTAAGGTATTGTCTGCGGCAACTAAAAAGATAACTCAAGACAGTATTGTTTTAACTGAACAAACTACCAGACTTTCTGTCGTGCTTGGAGTAATTCTGTCATCCAGAGTTCTGTGATACTTCTTCTAAAACGTCCCGCGTACGATAATGCAAGATTTACTTCCCCACAGTCCCATCACAAATGCTTCACTGCTGTCAATGGGTGTCCCCTACAACCGGCCACGCAAGAGATAAGCCGAACCAACAGGGGGGCTAGATAAAGGCTTGGGAGGCCTTAACCGGCCTGCGCACCCATAACGAACGCCATGCATGGGGGTGTGGTGGGAAGCCTAAGCGCAGTCTCACGCCGTGCCAACCACTTGTGCCCAATCTCCGCATCAGATGACTGACGCGCCCAGACAGCGGAGTCGGGAATGAAAGAAGAAAGACAGACGGAGGTCGACTCAGGGGAGTGCGTCCCCACTTCACTCAAGACATACTCCTGATGCGCTATTAAATTATCACGGTATACTAAATGTCGTGGCTTGGAAAGCTGACAACTGAAGGGATAACTCGGTCCTCCCATCAGGACGAAGAGTCAAGTCGCGATGGTTTCTTCTGAATGCGACACCCCATTCATCCGGAATTCGTGTCAGTCCCATTTTGTTTCTGTGCAAACCTGATCCCCTGCGCGCGGGCAGGGAGTGTGTGGCACGCGCAGACGGGCTGTCTAGTTTACTCAGTCACTACGACCGATCCAGCCTTTGCTCTTCTTGACTAGGCCTTGAAAGTGGCATCAGGTGACTGAGGGGGGAGAAGGCTATCGATGCTGCGCTAGTCTACTGCCATCATAAACTAATTCACGCACAAGTCACAGTTCCTGCGCCTACCCTGCTGTCAGAGACGGTCGAACTGTCGTATCAGTGGGCGGACTGCTTGCCTGGGTACTCACTCATTCATCGCGTCGAACAGTTTGTCCATCAGTACGCCCTAAAATCCCCGAAAGTGTGTATTTTTATGCTAGCAATGTAAACAAAATGTACGCTTTCTTCACTCCCAGGCAGAATAACATCTTCTGATTAGATTACCTCAGAAATACTAGTTAAATTAAGTTTTTTGTTAGAGAAAAAGGAAACTGCTGTATGTCTAACTCCACCGGGCGACCGCCACTGCAAATCAGGACTAGCGAATGAAATACTGAAAATGAGATATTGAGTATGCACAAAAAGATGAATGAGGTCGGTATTTTCAGGTATTTGTCACCCGGTATCCGACTAGATCTCACGAGGTCAAAGAATTACCCGAATCCATTGTGCTTCAAAGCACGCAGCCCGTCGTTTCCGGGATGTATTCTATCTTCACTCCTTAATTTGTTAGATAGGGGTTACGAAAAGAATCACAAAAATGGGACTGCTAACCCATCAATAGCCTTGGATTTCGAGGTGGGTAGAACGAGGAGGCTGTCCGTTGGAGCGCCGAACTCGAACCAGGAAAACTGGCCGTTTGGTTGACCAACCAGCGGCGAGAGATTAGGTCGAACTACGTCTTTCAAAGTCTACACGAAAGATGGCAAAATGAGAAAAAACAGAAGAGGGGATAACAAGAAAAAGTAGTCTTTGCAAGGACACACGAGACAAGTGGCATTTACTGAATAGTGAAGTGACAGAACTTAAAGCAGTCCAGATGTCTAATGCCATTACTTGCCTCCTCAAACGTGTGCACGCATCCCTCCCTTTTGCGCACTCCCGTCTTCACCAGACTGTAAACTGGGAAGGCGGCACCTGCATATTTTTCTACCGGGAGGCCACCACCCGGCGCGTCGAAGAGTGAACGGAACTACCCACAGCGAAGACTAGCTGAGAAAAGGGCTGACTCTCGGGTCTGGCGGATAGGCGGTCGAGAATCCCACAACGCTAATACCTACGAAGTATCTGGGCTGCGACCTGACAAACCGATTGTCTATAAAAAAGTATTTTAAGTCCCGGCACTGTTGCAACGTGGTGAGTGTAGTTTACCGCCGAATAGAGCTGTTTAGTGCAACTCCTGAACGCTAAACTGGTGTGTCGGACGGGTGGCTAGAGATGGCCACTATCGAATCCAGGTAGTAAAGGAACCCATCATTCCATCAAGTCGTCATCCTGTCAGCCACAGCTTGACAGGAGCTCAGAAGAAATGCAGGAGTTCAAGGTGGATCATGCGACAGGCAGTCAAGCTAAGCGTTCGGGTCTGGTGGCCTAACATCCACAATGCTGCAGGTTGCAATACGGTCCATGACCTCGTGCTCCTTCATGACCAATTCAGGTAACACAAACAACGCTGACTACACACCGCTCGCATCGGTTTGTTATTTTGGGCAAGTCTTAAGTTATTTAGGGGTTAGTTTTCCGACTCACACTATAGCAGTGAAATTAAACAAAGGTTGCGCGTGTTGTGTCGCCTTTATTGTTTATTGTCGATTTGGTACGAGCTGGGCAAATGCCTCTCGATCTAAAGTCCCACCCATCCATTGCGTAGCACAACACAGCCGATCGGAATCAGATGATTACTCATTTCATTTCGTACAAGCACCTTGTAAGCAAAATGTTCAAAAAGTGAGTTTCGCAAGCCCTTTCTACATCCCTTGTACGTTTACTTAAATGAATAATGCCTCAAATGACTCTCGCGTCAGTCAGTTTTCCTCAAAAGCAGTGCTCGAGGACACATTTGAGAGGAATATGTGTCTGGAAAACTAAAAAGTAATTTAGGAAGTGGTCAGAAAAAAGACATTGCTACATTAAGTCTGCATGGATGTGCAGTGGCTTTCACAACGGACAAGTTCAACACTAAGCACCGATGGAAGATGGATGTGCTAATGAAACAAATAGAGCAGACTGGAGAAAATACTGCCATACCGGTTTTTCAGTGATCTTCGGCAAACAAATAATGTCCATCATTCACCACCATGGCTCAGGCTAGACACAAGCCCTCGAGTAAGCACGCGGCTCTCGCTTGTTCTGGTCAAGGACGTAATGACGATCGGTAATGACCGTGAAACATATGTCTGCGTCTGGCGTGCTAATACGCTAATGAGCCTTCTATGCACACTACCCTTCCTTGCAATAACAGCAAAGGACGGAAAACAATCAGGCATGGCGGCAGTGGCAAGGGAAGGCGACAGGAAGAGAAGGGAAGGATAAGTGGCGAAGGATCATCAGAGGGAGTAAGGCGGGTGGGATGCAGTCAGGTTGTGTCATTGCAGTAGGGGCAGGCGAGCGACTATTCCTGAGACGCTGCAGGGGGTACGTATCTAGCGAGGTCCTCGGGACATCCAGTCGTTCGCTACTCAGCTACGACGTACAATATTGTAAAGGCTTGACGATGAACAATTGAAGAAGCGCGGGCATTGGAGCGCTAACAAAATTGACGTCCAATACGGTTTCGGAGAGCTTACTTTAAGGGGTAACGGTAAGGAATGGGGCGAAATTCTGAGGCACGACTTTAGTGTACTTTTTTCAACTTACAAGACGGTCAACCTAAAAGTGCAGTGAGTGACCACCTTCTGAATGGATTTACCCCATGTGTAGGGGATGTCCATGAAGTTGTTTGCCCGCTAGCCAATACCTGGTAGTCACGATGTTAATATTTTAGTATCTGCAACTTCCCCTTCTCTGCATGCAGCCTTGGCCCAAAACCTGTTGACTAGATGGCAAAAAACATTTGCGTGTTCTCATTCGAGAGAAGTCCACAAAAAGTCGAAAGGAATGTTTGAAACCATCTGAAAAAGAAACATCGCAGAAAAATGCATTATTTAGACTTTTCCGGACCTCCTGCGTTGTATGCACTTAGGGTATGCTGGAATTGTGAGATTATGTAGTCAGATCAAACATTAGAAGGGAACTACAGCAGAAACATGCCAGGATGGCTATTAGAAGCAAAAATAATCTGTTTAGTGGGAGTGATCCTGGAAAGCGTTAATTCAACCTGCCCCTTTACCGTCTGTCCTACGGTCACCGCTGCGTTAGACTGCGAACTTTTAGCAAGCAAGCGATGGGTGCAAGGAAACCCTACTGGTGCATGAGAGGGAACCCGCTCTGTCTGTTAATAGCAGCGGACAGCGAGCATGCGACCACACACCAGGTCTCAAAGTAAAGAGTCCGGCCTTGACGAAAAGTGGCCAACACGACTGGGAAGACTGGGACAGCAACTACTTCAGGAGTAGGCGCATCGGTCACACCCCCCCCCCCCC